AGAGAACAACTTATATATATATATGCCAAAAATAAGGGTAACTACTATGAAGGGATAGAATATGACTCTAAAAATGAAAAATAAAAAAAAAATTTTAAAAAAGGGATTGATAAGATGTTCATTGAAAAAGGTAAAAAGAAAAATTAAAAAAAACAGTTAAAAAAATTAACTTTGAAAAACTAATGAATCATGGTAAAAAAGCCATGAATTCTATGTGCAGTATTCCCCTAGCGCTGAAGTTCTCCCGTTCTCCTTGATGGGTAAACTTGGTCTTGGCTGGCTGTTCGTGCTGATCTTCTGGGGGAGGGTCTGTTGCCGTGGTTCCCAGATGCCTTTGCCAGAGGTGGAATTGCCCCTCCCTTGCCGGTCCGGGCTAAGCAATCTGCTCAGGTTTGCTCTCCGGAACTTTTGTTCTCTGCAAGCTTTCCATACAGCGCTGAAGGATGAGAGTGAAAATGGCAGCCTCCCAGTCCCCGCCTGGAGGAGCTGAGAACTCAGAGAACTCGGGGCCCCGCTCCTCACTGCACCCCCAGAGAAAAGCAGTCAGTCACTCCCATGTCCCTGGTCTCCAGCCGCACTCCTTGCTCACCAGGCCTGTGACCAAGCATTTCTAGCTCTGGCACCCGACCCCGTGTGGAGTCTCCAAACCCAGCAGATCCCTGCGGTGCGCTCCCGCGCCGCTCCTCCCCGGGGGAGGAAGGGGAGTCTCCCCGGCTCTGCCACTTGTTGGGTCCTTGCTGGAGGAGCAGTGGCCCGACTGGGCCGTGGATCACAGTTTATGGCAACCCCAAGCTGAGAGCCACACCTCAGCTCCATTTCTGCAGCTGGCTTCCCCGCTCTGATACCTGGGAGCTCTGCCACACTCAGGCACCCCCGGTCTTTCTGTGACCCCGAGAGTCCTGAGACCACACTGTCCCGCGAGGGTTCCACCCCCAGCTTAGCCACTGGAGTGACGTCCCTCAGCGGAGCCGACTTCTAAAAGTTCCGATTTTGTGCTCTGTGGCTCTACCACTTGCCAGAAGCGGCCGACGGAGGCTCCCTCCCCCGCCGTCTATCCTCCCGAATATCGCCTCGGATTCACTTCTCCGCACGTCCTACCTTCCAGTAAGTGGTCGCTTCTCTGTTCAGAGAGTTGTTGCTACCCTCTTCTTTGATCTCCTGTTGAGTTCGTAGGTGTTCAGAATGGTTTGATCCCCATTCAGCTGAATTCCTGAGACCAGACGAAATCCAGTTCTCCTACTCCTCCGCTGTCTTGCTCCCAGCCCATCACATGCCCTCCTTAATGTCCATCACCCAGTTACCCCATCCCCCCACCCCCCTCCTCTCGAGCAACCCTCAGTTTGTTTCCTATGATTAAGGGTCTCTTTTGGTTTGTCTCCCTCTCTGATTTTGTCTTATTTCATTTTTTCTTCTACTCCCTATGATCCTCTGTTTTGTTTCTTAAATTCCACATATGAGTGAGATCATATGATAATTGTCTTTCTCTGATTGACCTATTTCGCTTAGCATAATACCCTCTAGTTCTATCCACATTGTTGTGAATGGCAAGATTTCATTTTTTTGATGGCTGAGTAGTATTCCATTGTGTGTGTGTGTGTGTGTGTGTGTGTGTGTGTGTGTATACACACACACATATATACATGTATACCACATCATCTTTATCCATCTAGTCTTTTTTTTTTTAAGGAATGAAAAGGATTCACTTGCAACTAGAGCCTTTTCTTAACATTAACCCTAACATAGAAGCATAGGAAATGAAAAAGGTCATTACTTCTTGTATATTATCTGCTTTTAGAAAAGAGTGTGTCTAAAATATTAGGTGAAAATGTTTTGCTCTCCTTTTCTTAAGGCTCTTGAGATTTTCCTATCATGTGTTTTCCATTGTTGTCAAGGACCTTTGCTTTTTACGCTGGGGATAAATCCTGTGTCATGACTACTAACTCACTCATTAGATTAAGTGGCCTTTTTAAATGATTATAGAAACACAGTGGGCAAACTTAGTGTCTTACAGGGCTCAGTACTACCCCTGCATTTTCTGAAGATTCAGTAACAACTTCATAATCTAAGTATACCCACGGATGGCAATTTTTTTTTTGTCAGGACAAAATAAAAAGTTTGTATTTGAGCTAAATTCACCCACATTGGTAATTTATAGTATGTTTGGTGATACCCTGTGCGATTTAGTTAATTAGGAACATCTCCAGTACGATAGCTGGGCTACTGTGACCACTTTAATTTTACTTTTGACAGAGAGTAAAGCAGCAATATCTGACATTAGAGCTAAAGCTTCATGTTCAACTAGCCCATCCTTCTTCCCTATAGTCATACACCTTGGTAGGGTAGACATATGGTTTTTGTATGTGTTGTAAATAATCTCTTAAAGATTTCACAAAATTTCTGAGTGCCTTTCTCAGATTGTTGGAGAGGGATAATGGGACTAGAAGGTATACGTATGAGTTCTAAGCAAATACCCTAAACCAGTTCTAAACAAATACCCTAAACCATCTCTCTGTTCTCCAGCCTTCAATAATTTTGAAATACATCCTATCACTTTTTCAAAATTTTACTACAATATGTGTTATAAAACCATTAAAATGTGAGGGAAAATTAATATATTTTCAGTGAACAAGTGTAAATATTCTCATAGCTTCTAAGAACACTCTTAAAAGTGCTGATACTTACTTAAATTAGTATATTTTTATAAGTAGCTGAGAAAGAACCTTGAATGTCTATTATAAAGATGTGTCAGTTTTCTAAGCATTAAAAATCAGTGTGTTTAGGTGTATCCCGCAGAATAGAAACAGAAATATATCTACTTTGTAGCTATTCAGATGTTTGTATTGCTTCCTTTAAAATTTTGACATACTGTCATTTCTTTACTTACAGAGATTTTTCTTTTAGTTTCAGAGACAATAGTCAGTCACGTTTCTTGTTTAAATCAGAAGCTTAGTGATTACTATTAATTTCCAGAGATTAAACTTACTAATGTCATGTCCCTTCTTCATCACTGATTTTGTTCACAGCAAAGATAACATTTTTATTTAAGTCTGGAAAGAAACCTCAACATAAGTATTCCTTTTCTAAAAACAAATAAAATGAAAATTCTAGTATGTAGTCTGATCAAATTAATTAGTGGGTGATTATTCATTACAGCATTTTTTAAAGATATGTTCATATAACATATTTTTTGTCTTTTAGTAATAGTTCATTAGCTTCTTGAGAGAGGTATGAGAAAAAGTGGTAGGAGCCATTGCCATTTGAAGAGCAATCAGAACTCAAAATACGTTTAAGATGACAGGGTAAGGGCGCCTGGGTGGCTCAGTTGGTTAAGCGACTGCCTTCAGCTTGGGTCATGATCCTGGAGTCCTGGGATCGAGTCCCGCATCGGGCTCCCTGCTCAGCGGGGAGTCTGCTTCTCCCTCTGACCCTCCCCCCTCTCATGTCCTCGCTCTCTCTCTCTCTGTCATTCTCTCCCTCGCAATAAATAAAATCTTTAAAAAATAAAAAAAAAGATGACAGCGTAAGCCAGGTTGGAAAAAAGTTTGTTTTTCCTTTTGTAGGAAAAAAAAAACACTCATTCTATATCCAGAGATATAATCACTGCTGTTTAGTATAGAGATTTCCTGTTAGTATTTTGTTTGGATGTGTGTGACTATTTTTACAAAAATAGTATTGTATCCATGTTACTTATGGACTGCTCTTTGAAGTTTAACCTTATATACTGAACATTTCTCCATCAATAAATATTCCTTACAAGGCAACTATAAATGGTTATGGTGTGATTATAGCATAATTCAATCGTTCTACTGTATTTGAAGATAAAGATACTCAGTCCATCTATTTTCTATTATAAATTATATCTTTGCAAGTATATCTTGGGGGTACAGCCTTTTGATGTATATATGTAGGCTGAATTCCTAGAGTGCAAATTATTGGGTCCAAAAATGTGGGATGTACAAATATTTAAGACTTCTGACGTATTGCCAGTTTGCTCTCTGGAAGGGTTATACCAGTGCACACTCCCACTAGTAGTATATGCCTCTTCAAGCTTCTCTGACAGTGGGTATTAGTCTTATTTTACCATGTTAATTTGATAGGCAAAAAAAAAAAAAAAAAAATCACATTTAAAAAATTTGAACTTCTCCATTTAGAAGTTGAACTTTTAAAAACTAGGCTAGTTGTAATCTTTTAAAATTACCTGTTGATGTCCTCTGCATCTTTTAAAAAATTGATGTATTTCTTTTCTTATTGATATGTAAGAACCTATATATGATTCAATTCAAAAAGACCAAAAGCTTGGTATAAATTAATAGGACTATTAAAAAAAAGTTGCCATCAAATGAACACCCATATAGCCTGAAGCAGTGCTAAGCACTTTACCTTCATATTTTATTATTTTATCTTATTCAATGTTCATTGTAATTCTGTAGTAGATGTCTTCGTTTTGCAATGAAGGAACTTGAGATTCAGAAAGGTTGAATGACTTGCCCAAGATCACAGGTAGTGATAGGATTTGATTCCATTTCTGTCTCACTTCAAACCCCAAGTGGTTTTTCTTATAACACACTTCTCCTGGTACCTAGCTGTTGCTCGTGCCTAATTATCCCAGATAATAATTATCTCTGTCCTTTTTTCCCAGTTTGTTCCAGTGCCCTTTGCATATATATTTTGAATGGAGAGAAATAACTTCATTCATCCACACCATTTTGCAATGTTGCTCAAGAATAAAGCATTTCATACCTTAAGAGAAAAAAATTCCTAAGCCTGTATTTTTAAATATCATTATATTAGATTTGATATAGACCAAGATCTTTTAATCATCTGTTTTGTAATTTACTCGTTCCAGACGCATTCTGTGATTTTGTGCTTTTAGTTGCTTTTTTCCATGTTATGAACCAGGTACTTGCCTCAGATCCTTTCTTTTAAAGATGAGGCATAAATAAATAAATGAAAGAAACAGGTAAAAAAGAATAATTAGTGTACTAAATTCTTCTTAACAGAACTTTACAGAGCAGTATGGCAAGGCTTCTCTCAGATCTTAGTATGGACAGTGCTCGCTGCAAGTCTGGGAATAATCTTACCAAATCAATTCTGAACGTTTATGAAAAACAGCCTCAACATGACCCAATCCCTGCTCATACTTCCATAATGAGCTACCTAAATAAGTTAGAAACAGATCACACTTTTACACATTCTGAGACACTTTCTGCAGTTAACAATGAGGAGAGCATGGAGCCAGATAGACCTTATGAAAATGTCCTGCCCTCCAGAGGCCCTCAACATAGTCACACAAGGAGCATGGAGGAAGCATCAGGCCCTGGGATGATTTCTACGCTTTCAAAACAGGATTCTGTCGAGGAGAGTGAAATTACAACTCTAATAGACAAAGAGTGTAATTTGGATAATACAATTTACATTCCTTTTGCTAGAAGCACTTCTAAAAAGAAGTCACCACTATCTAAGAGACTGTCCCCCCAGCCAGTCGGCAACAGTGGACTTGTCTCTGAAAAGGCAAATAAATTGTGTGCACCTGTAGTTTGTTCCTCTTCCAAAAAGGAAGCCGAAGATGCACCTGAGAAACTTCCCAGAATAGCTGATAGGGAAGACAAGCAGCTCCTCAAGAAGATAAAGGAAGCCATTTGCAAGATCCCTGCTGCCCCTGAGGAGCCGCCGGAGCTGGCTGCGGGTCCTGGCCCCGCCACCTATCAGAGCAGCGGCATTCGAGGGAGGAGTAGTGCGGTCTCCGACGGTAGCTTTTTAAATTCTGACTTGACGTCGGACTGGAGCATCTCTTCCTTTTCAACCTTCACTTCTCGTGATGAACAAGACTTCCGGAACGGCCTTGCAGCACTGGACGCTAATATTGCCAGACTCCAGAAGTCCTTAAGGATGGGTCTTCTGGAGAAATGAACTCAGAAGAATAAGGGACTGAGTGCTTCTTTTAAGAATGACCTTGGCTACATTGAATGTATATTTTAAATTTCTTTAGAGAAATGATGTCTTATACCAATTATGTATGATAAGTGTATGAATAATAAATTTATTATTGTCCTTATTATATTTGAACATAAAGGAGTTTGTAAATCTTGCACTGGTTATAATTCTGCCTTTCCGCATTAATTCCTTTTCAGCCCTTTAGCTGAGAATGTTCTCTATTTTATAAGTAATATGAACAAAGTTAGTCTCTGCTTCTCTGTACTAGCACTTCTTAACTACTCAGTATCACCTCTGTCCGTGTAAGCAGCACATTCGAGCTGTTAGAAGCCTGAGCGTTGTGCTGTCACCAATACCTCCTGGTCACCAGCCAGTGTCTTTATGTACAGTGCTTGGGCAGGCCTTAGCATTAAAATGTTCTGCCGGCACCAGGACCTCCTCCTACTGGTTTTTAAGTGTTGGTGCTACAACTTCTGAAGGACCCAGATATAATCTCTTTGACATGTCCAGATTTTATAGATAGGGATTTCTTAAGTCTAAAAATACTAAATGAATTTTTAGTAGGTTTTTTTCATAGAATTGTCCATTAATATTTTTAATGTTTCTTCCAGTATTCATAAATTAATTCATTGGTGTATTTGGAGGTAACAGGCCACAACGCTTCAACAACGTAAGTTACAAAGTAGGGTTCAGAAATATAAGATACAGCAAGGATAAAAACTGTGTCATCTGACTACTCCCAAATATTCAATTGTTATTCATATGCAGAAATTCTTAAGATTATTATATGATAATACAAGAAGAGCATTGTATTTTGCCCTTAAAATAGGATAAGCTTTCTTTCATGCAAAGAAAATTATTAAATGCTTATGGGTTCACTTAATTAAGGGTTAACAATGTGATTGAAAAACAAATGAGACTGGAAAATCCTTGAGAAACCTTACCAGGAGCTTACTATTTATTTAATATAAGACAAACATGGCATAGAAACATGAAATAATTTGATTAAATTTCAAGATGGATTTTGATTCTAGCAAAAAAGATGGGATAGACGGCTTCATAGAAGTTTAGACTAAAAGGAAGTCGCAAATGGTATAGGAAGACCTAGAAGAAGAAACTTCATATTGATGTTTAAGAATGTGTAGGATTTGAATAATCCTGTGAATATCCTCATAATGTTTGCCCCATAAAGAAAATATCATCAAAACGTGGGGGTTGAGTAGTATATTAAGAGGATGATAGGTACACCAACCTGACTAACATAGAAGGATCAAGATTACTACCATTGACTTGAACAACACAAGGCTTAGGGACACCAACACCCCCTATGCAGTCAAAAATCGGCATATAACTTTGACTCCTCAAAAACTTAACTACTAATAGGCTACTGTTAGCCAGAAGCCTTACCGATAACATAAACAGTTGATTAACATATTTTGTATATGTATTAATATACTGTATTCTTAGAATAAGCTGGGAAAAATGCAAAGAAAATCACAAGGAAGAGAAAAATACATTCACAGTGCTGTATTTATCGGCAAAAAACAATCTATGTATAAAGTGACCTGTACAGTTCAAACCTGTGTTCAAGGGTCAACTGTATATGATAAAGGTGACAGCAAATGAGGATAGCACAATTAGACAAGTTAGATCAGAATGTCTTGAGTTCCAGGCTGAGGAATAACCATTAACCATGAAGTCTTGGGTGTTTGGGTATATTTGGTGGTGGTGGGGTGTTTTTTTGTTGTTTTTTTTTAACTGAGGACCACCAGATAAAACTCGCTGTTCTCAAAATTGCATAGAATGATCGTACATAAAAAGTAGAGGCAGGGGGAGGCTGGAAGCCACCTAGAAAGCTGTGGCAGTAGTCTAGACAAATTGACAAGCCTTTGGCAATAAAGGTGAAAAAGGAGAGACAAATTAAAAAACTTTCAGTAGGCTTGGTGACAATAGAAAATGAAAGAGAAAAATCAAAGATGACTCCAAAGTCTCCAGTTTGGTCAGGTTGAGTCACACTGAGCAATGTCTCAAATGAAAAATAACGTTCTTGGTCAAGTTCCAAGTTAAGTCTTCTTAACAGTACTGATAATGGAGAGTGGGATAAAAAGGAGGGAAAGCATGCCCATTCTCAGTAGTCCTCTTTAGATCTCCACACAAGAAGTCAGTGTCACTGCCTCTTCATAGTCTCAGAAGGGTCAGTCTGCCTCCCAATCCCAGCCCCCTCACAAAGCCTTTTCAGATGTCCCAGAGTGTGAAAAGCTGGTTAGCGGAGTATCCCCCAGCCTCCGACAGGGGGAACTCAGTGTCTCCTTGATAGATACTGGGTGTAGAATGGGAGAGAATTGTCCTCAAGCATTTTGTCACTGTTCTGTCCTGCCTTGGATTTGTGGAGGTAATGTGCAGACGTCACAATGGATTTGGTATTTGTGAATATCACTGAAGATGAAAGAATCTGGTTCTGTGACCAAGTGTGGAGATCCTAAGGGCTAAAGAAGCCCAAGAAGTACTTTGTACACATTCTTCCTTTATTCCCCCTTGGAGCTGAGTAAATCTTGTGAAAATCTTTTCTTTTCACTAATGGCATTTATGTCAAGTGCCTTAAAATTTATAAAGGCTGCCTCAACCACATGGAAAGGACAGAACTGCAATGCCCAGTTAGATAAAAGGGCATGCGGCCTAGTCACAACTTACCAAGTATTTACTCCTCACATTGTGGGGCAATCTCTTCAGCTAAACATTCCTTCGTTCAATGAATAAATGAGATGAAAGCTCTAATATTTGCCAGGTACTATTCTGGGCTCTGAAAATACGATAAATACGATCTTCTCTGCCCTCAAGGAGCTTACATTAAAGGGGGAACAAACAAAGGGACATGAGCGATAAGTACTGTGAAGAAAAAATGGGAAGGGGACAAAGATGACAGAATTGGCTTAAGTTTCCATTATTAGAGTAAGAAGCCCCTTTTCAAAAATTATGTTTAGGAATCAAGAATTTAAGCATGCTACCAGATAAAGCTGGATTTGATTTGTGAGCTAACTCTCCCTTAATCATGTTTTAGATCTGTTAACTCTCGGTTTCCTTCCGCTCAGAATTGCTTAAATTCACCTTATATTTTGATGTTTTAGTATACCACTTGTAGAGAACTGGACACTTTTTTTTAAAGCAGTTGGCCTGAATAGGACCTACCTGAGAATTACCAGAGATGGTAAGATGTTAGGGACTTCTGAAGGGCTTAAGTTGAGTTTTTAAAGGGACTTTAATAAAAGTTACCTATCTCACATTTATACCCAAAGAAGGAATCCATTCTACAGTGATACCTGCTACTGGTAGGATCCCAAGTGCACCATATGTATTCCTTTTGCCTGGACCACGCTTTTGCTCCACCTGACCAATTCTTATACTCATTTTTCAGACCCATGATACTACTACTGTACCATGTATATGCCTCTGTTGATGCATGTATCTGTTTGCATGGCAGCCTCTCCTACCCTGTATCCTTCTTAAGGGCAGGGACCAGCATTTGTTCATCCTTGACACCTCTCATGGCACTTGGTGCCTGTCATATGGTAGGCAGTTAATAACAGTTGTTGGACTTTGCTAAGTCCCTGGCAAATGGTCATCTCGGCTTCACTTGACTTTCGCTTGGTGTTGGTAAGTTCATGCAACAGCTTGTAGCTTTATTACACATTTCTAAGCTCCTGGCATTAGCTTCCCTATATTTTTTCTTCTTTATTCCCATTGTTAACTTCTGAAGCAAAATCCACTTGTTTAGCAAATATCCACACACTACTTGTGCTGTGGAGAAGTCATAGATTTTTTAATATTTAGGAGGGGAGATAGGGTGAAGCATTTATTAAACTCTGTCACCACTGCAGGGATAATTTATCCTACCAGCTTACCTTACCAGTTTGTGGGAAAGATAAATGTCGGCAAAGCACTTTGAAAATGAGGGCACTGTATAATCGGTGACTTACAACACTGAAAGAGCCCTCACCATCCTGCTTTCCCTCGCTTGATGTCCTCCAGTTTGTCAGTGTCTTAAAACTTAAATCCAGCAATGAGTAGAGGAACTCCAGATGTGATGTTATCAAGAAGAATGCAGTTAGATCACCACTTACTATGATCTTGTTAAAGTTTTAGCCATTGAATTCTATTACAGATCATATTAGGGCTATAGTTCCTTTCTAGATAGTATTCGCATTGTCATTCTTGGCGTTGAGCGGCATCATGTTAGGACAACTCAGGGGGGCCCAGGTCCTTCCTGTCCAGCCAGGAGTGAGCTGTTCTTCAAAGCTCACGTTCTGGCCAAACAAGTGGTCTCAGCTGCCCCAGAGGGAGAGTTCACACTTACCACAAACTCACCAGTGAAGCCAGGTCGGCTAGAGGCCATAAAGAATGGCGAAAAGAGGGAGACTGGAAACCAGGAGACCTAGGTTCAGGTTCTGCTACTGTTTTTCTGTATGAACCTTGTTTTACAGTTACAAAATGTGAGGATTTGACATCTTTGGTGTGAATCTTTGGTCACCCCATGATTTGACATCCTATTTAATATTGTATTCTAGCATTTTGACTAGACATCTTTCAATTAGTCAAATGTGAAGGTTCTACTCAGGGTATTTAGAGCTTTATATGAAGTAGACAGGTTGTTTTCCCTATCAAGGGAATGGCCTTGCCAACTCTAGAGAAGATTTATAGAAGGGAGGTCATTATTTGCCACCTATGATTCAAAAAAAAGAAAGCTCTGATATTACTGGTGTCTCTATTAATTCTATCTCAGGACAAATTTTTGGTATTTTTGGGGGGGCGGTTTTCAGGACTAATTTTTGAACATCAACTTAGAAGTTTGAAATACTCCTGGTATAAAAAAGATTGTGGATAATTTTTGCTTTATTTTTTACAGGACTTTTATAGGTAAAAGGGACCTTATGATTCTCTAGTCCAGTCTCATTTCTAGAAATAAGGAACTTGAAACCAAAAAAATATTAAAGACGTTTGCTCAAAGCCACACAACTAACTCTTTGAACAGATACTCTGATTTTTCAGTCTACTTTCTTCACTATTTTGTCTCCCTGATAGCCACTAACTCTCATGACTACTTGAGCCCCTGAG